AAAAACAAATCAAGACTATTCCTGCATGATAAACATTAGAATTTAATGTATCTTTATAATTCCTTTTATTGAAAAAAGGTAAATTAAGCAGTCATTAACTAGATTTTATTGTCTTAATATTCCTATTGAACATACAGCAGATTCTCTTAGAGCAGGAGCTCTGAAAAAGATAGAGGGTTGTAGACTTTCATGTTACCCAAAGTAAAAAAATTCTTTATTTTTGTTCTAGCTTTGATGTAAATATTAGTACATCTCAGCATTTTTTTATCCAAATTATAAAGTAGTTATGGCTTCTATCTAGCTGGTCTCCCAAAGCCTCATGTAGTCATTGGTGGGGTTTTTCAGAGGTGGCTGAATCTATGGTTTGTGATGATGGGATTCAGGATGTGATGCTGGAGTGAAGGGTGAGGTGCTAGAATTAGGGGTGCCCCACCCTCGGTGTGCATGTTGCCTGCCTTAAGGACAGGGGGCCTGGACACCATATAAGAGCCAGAAAGAGGGTTACTGTTGTCACTTGCTACTGTTGCTTCCCTGCTTCACTACTTTGTGTTCTCCCTGTCACATTTCTCCTCTGTGATGCCCCTCTGCTATGCCACCCTTCCTTGGAGCCTCAGACTATGGACAGAATCATGTATAAATTGTGAGCTGAAATAAACCATTCCTCTCTTAACTTTGAGCATTTTGCATTTTGTCTCAGCAAGGAGAAAAGTAACTAAGACAAGAATGATAGCAGTTTATTGGTTGTTGGTTATTCAAACAAGTATCTTCTCTCGTTTTGAAAATTCAGAACTGTCGTTTACCATGCTAAACATGCTACTTATGTCTATATGAGGCGTTAACACTTGGTGTTTGGTGAGCTCTCAGAAGCGCTCACTGTAGTGTTCAATAAGAAATTCAGATAGTCTCTTTCTAGACTTAAACCTACAAAAGTACTGATGCTGCCAAAGGGTAATAAAAGCATCACAGACTAAAAGTAAAACATTACAGAATGTTTTAGGTATTGAGAATGGCACAAACACCAACAAAGAGTGAGGGTAAATAAACAGTTGGAAGATGAAAGAGAACTGGAAAGATAATGAATAACATACATCATGGTTTCCCAAAGAGCTTATTGGCAGAACTCTATGAGGGATCCCTCAGACAGCACAGATTTTATTTTTGCAGACCTTTAACAAGAACAAGGCATACTGAGAATAGCATATGCTTATGAATGAATGCCGAGATACTTGGAATGGAAAAGGGAGAAACAAGTAAGACAGAATAATACATATTTTGTGTCTATGTCATCATACTGGCAGGTCAAAAGGGACATCAAGTCTCCTTCTAATTCACAGGGAAGTAGTTTTACATGAATTAAAATATGAATATTGATATTTAAGTTAAAAAAATATTAATCTTAAATGTTGCTATATACTCTTAAGTGAAAAAATCATCAGACTAATATCCTATCTTGTCACTATCTTAATTGATTTTTTCTGGATAATGCAATATGGTATTAACCATCAGATGTGACACTAACTTCCCATAGCAACTCTACATGGAGCCATCATTTACCAAATCATCTTAAATCTTGTCTTTATTTTACATGAGCTCTAGGAATAAAAAATACAATGATTCCCTCTATATTGTATAATATAATAATTTGCTCTGTTTTTAATTTTTCTTTTTTAGAAGTTCTGCATTTTAAGGGATTTGTTAGTGAATTCTGTTTATCATATTCAAAACTATAATTTATTGTAATACAATTTTGAAGTCATTTTTGCCATTTTTTTCTTAAATTGTCTTAGCTAGAGTTATAATGTTCTTATTTGTCCTCAGATGGAAAGAAGCACAGGTTGAATATCATATCAATTTTAAATGTTCTAAATAGCATAGAATCAGTCCTCTAACAGAATACAGGTGAAATGACCGAGATGGAGGAGAGGCACAGCGTGGTCAGTTTTAGTTCTCAGTGACTGTTCAACAGAAAACTTATCTACAGGGGGACTTCAGGAAGGGGGCAAGAAAATTGCCAGAAAAATTAACTCAAAATGTATCATAGGTCTAAATGTAAAATTCAAAATCTTAAAGCTTCTAGAAGATAAAATAGAAGACAACCTAAGTCACATAGGTATGGCAATACGTTGGTTTTTTTTTTTTTTTTTTTTTTTTTTCTGGCTCTAAGGACCAAGCTCAGGGCCTCACACACACTAAGCAACAGCTCTACACTGAGCTACGTCCCCAGCTCGGGTGATGACACTTTAGATACAACACAAAAGACATAATCACAGGGGGCAAAAAACTAATGTTAGACTTTATTTATATTTACTTATATTAGAAATCTCTGCTCTGCAAAAGACCGAGTCATAGAAATGAAAAGATATATTTTCAAAGACACATCTGATAAAAAAATTGTTACCTAAAATATACAAAGAAAAACTCAAGTAGAACAAAACAACTTAACTTAAAGATGGTCCAAAGAACTTAAAAAACACCTCACCAAAAATATCATAGCTACAAATAAGCATGTAAAACAATGCTCCCCATCATATATCATCAGGGAAACTCAGGTTAAAAGAATAGCTATGGTATGAGCAATAGATGCGAGATAGCACTACATATGTATTAGAGTGGCCAAAATTCAGAACGTTGACAACACCAAATGCTGGCAAGTGTGCTAGGCTAAAGAAACTCTCAGTGACTGCTAGTGGGACTGTGAAATAATCCATCCAGCCACTTTGAGACACAGTTCATCAGTTTCATACAAAAACTAAACACATTTTTGCCATATAACCCAGCAAATCATGTTCCCTGTTATTTAGTTAAAGTAAGTGAAATCTCAGGTACACACAAAAATTTTCACACAGATGTTTATAAAAGATTTACTCATAATAGCTAAAACTTGGGAGCAGTCAAGATGTTCTTTAGGAGGTGAATAAATAAACTGGTAATCCATACAACGCAAAATCCTTCAATGCTATGAACAAATTCGGTATAAAATCATAGAAAAACATGGAAAAACTTTGAATAAATTACTAAGTGAAAGAAACCCATCTGAAAATGCCATGTACTGTATTATTCTAATTTTAGGACATTCTGAAGAAAGCAAAACTATGGAAATAGGAAAAATTAGTGCTTTCCAGAGATTACAGGTAGTGTGTACACATAGGTAGTGTGTACACATAGGCTGTGTGCAAAGGACTTTTAGGGTAGTGAAACTGCTCCATCTGCTAACACAATGGTGTGTACATGCAATTTCACTTTGTCAAATCCACTCAATGTACAAGACTTTGGGTTTGGGATGATAATGATGTGTCAATGAAGACCCATCTGTTGTAACAAATGTACCACTCTGTTGAGGGATGGTGGTCAAGGGGGGCCTGTGCATGTTGGGGGGATGGGGCAAGGGGAATTTGAGGAACCTCCGCACCTTCTCATTTTGCTGTGACTTTCAGACTTAAAAACAGAGTTTAAAAAATAAAAATGTGGCAGTGATTGCATCTAATCAAAAAGATTGTCATTCCTGTTACAACTGAACTCTTCTTACTATATTTACAACAAATCAGGGAAAAGAAAGTGATTTATCCTGGTTGTGACATTGATACATATCACAAGTGACCCAGTTCACCTCAGAAATAGAGCCTCAGAAACTTCTCTCAGTAAGACATTTTACAGAGTAGATTTAGAAGATCCAACACCCCAAGGCAAACCTCAGAAGCTCAGAAAGTGTCAAGAAAGGTAGACTTTCAGGCTTCAAATCCTTGGTGTTTTCTACTAATCATTTCCATGACAGAAGATGTGGGAACAGCAATATACAGCTCCAAGTGCCTGTTGCTGGTGTTTAACCTGCAGAATGATCTGTCCTTTGAGGCCAGAATCCTTTGACTTCTTCCCCTGGTGGAAATTTCGTGTTTCTCTTTGTGAAAGATAATTCAATCTTATTTTCCTTGCTTTTCCTCAAAGGTTGCTGTAGAACACACACACACACACACACACACACACACACACAATTATAAGGATGTCTTTTCACATTAGCCTCTATCTAGCACTGACATGCAGAGCTCCCATGACTGATGATGCATAAAAACTGATCCCAAGTCTGGGAACAAAGTAGATTCTTCTGGCTCTCTCTCCCCACCTGTGACAACCTCTGACTCGTCACTCCACCCTCGAAAGAAAATGCGTACTTAGCCTGCCTGGAAGACTGCAGCCTGATGGGTTATAAAGAAGAAAAGAAAAATCACAGCCTACAGACAGGTCTTGAGCGTCACCACCCCACTCTCTGTCAGTAAAACCCTAGGGTGGGAACCAATTCCCAGCTGCAAATCCCAGAGCCCAGGGCCAGGGAGATGCAGGCCCAGGGAAGCTGCCTGGCTCCAGAACCACTCCCTCAGCTCCAGGCCTTGGCCCTAGGTCTCCACCTCCCTCCTCCTGGAGTTTTTCTTCGGCTCAAGCCACAAAGTGGCTTCTCGGAAATGTTACCAGATTCTGCTGAACAGGAAGCAAGGAAGGGGATAATGAGGGCAGGAAAGGGCTCTTCTGGCTGCGGGACGCACAGGCGCGCGCACACGCACACGCACACGCCCCACCCAGGGAAGTGACCCCGCAGTTTTGGCGACCCTTTCTCTGCCCGATACTAGCTCCCAGGGCCGAGACTGCAGCATCCCCTCCCCGCACCGAAGCTCGCTCCCCGCCCTGCGCAGCCCGCAGGGTGGAGCAAGGGAGCGAGGGGTGGGGACCCGGGGCGGAGGGCGGGTGGAGGGAGAGAGAGGCGCGGCTGCCCGCGGAGGGCGGGGTCGTCGTCTCCCTGGGCGCGCCCCGGAAGGCGCGGCGCAGTCCTGTGCAGCCCTCGCCCCACGCTGCTGCCGCGGCCGTCTGCTTCGAGTTGCGCGGGTTCCGCGGGCCAGGGCTGGGATAGCCTGGGTACAAGCGGTTGGCGGTGGCAGGCGTCTGCCGAGCAACAGGATCCCAGTAAAAAAGAAAAGACGCAGTATCTGAGAGCCTGCGAGCGGGGACCGCTTCCCCGCGCCCGGGCGCTGTGTCCTGGGGTCGGATCCTGCAGGTGCCCTGGGTGGGCACGGTCGGTGGGCAAGGTCGCAGGTAAGTGCGTCGCTTTTCTCGTTCTCCTCTGGTGTGGCGGGAAGGGGAGCTACTAACCTCGCCCTAGTACTCGCTTAAGCTGCCACACCCACCTGTGTCCCTTTCCAGTACCTTGGTTCGGTATCTCGCCACCTGGGAAGTGCGGGAAGGAAGCTGGCGGGGTGATTTCCGCAATGAGGGGAACAGAAGCTGGAAAGCACCTGTTTCGATAACAAAGCTGCTCCTGCGCTGGTTTTGACTCTGTGGGTTTGTTACCAGATTCTGGATATGAGCAGGAGAGGTAGCCTTAGGCAGTGCTTTGTCTTTCTTTCGGTCTACCCTCGGGAAGCTATTAGATGGATTTCAGCACCAGGGTCAGCTCATAATGCTTTACTACCCCCCGCCCCCCAAAAGCATGTTCCACGCGGCGCGCAGCCTGGGCGTACCCGGCACTACCTGTGGGAGAGAAGGATGTCCGCGTCCTTCAAGGGCGGACAGACACAAATAATAGTCAGCCTCGCCTCGGCCCTCCTTCTCAACGCAGTGCGTTTTCTTCAAGCAAATAAGCGGTGCACAGCAAAATTCAGATAAGGTTTAGAATCGTTTTAACGTTTTATCTGTTTCAACTGAAACTTCCATGCACTTTTAGGGAGAAACAAAAGTACATTTGTTCCTTACTGAAAGACCAAAGAACAAAGAAAGATGATCAAATTAATACTTTAATGGCAGATTTGTGATAATAGTCATAAATTCAACACACAATTTTAAGTGTTTACAAAAAGTTTTAGCATTCATAATAAACTACACCTCCTCCTCTGACAGTAAGAGCAATTTTCATGAGCCAGAACCTTAAGGGAATGTTGAAAAAGTTTATTTCAGTACGATAAAGATCAAATCAACAAAAGTTTAAAGAAAGAATAGATTTTCAGTGAAAGAGTGAATGTAGTTTTGGAAAGTGTAATTCTTTTTAGAAAGACTTTCAATATTCTTCCCTATTTCTTGTTCCCTGAGGACAGAAGAAAGTTTTTTTAATTCCTGTTTTTTGTTTTTTATTTTGGTTACTTTAAATATATTTTTATTATTCTGTTTTATTATCAGTAAAACCTGTTTATATGTTATTTGCAAACCAAATTCAGTTATTAAATTGCCTAGTTCACTGAAAGTCTCTGAATTCTTATCACATGGAGTATAAAGCACCAAACCTAAAATTTACTTTCTTCAAACAAGTAAGTTGCATTTATTAAAAAACATTATTGTTTAAAAGCCAGTTTTATCTGCTCTCTAGATTTAGGATTCAGATTGAGTAGCTCGTTCAAAGCAAAATGCTACAGAAAATATGGCATTTGATATAATGGAGGACATTTAGGTAACTGACAGTAGTTTAGCTAAAGATACTGTTTTTATTTTTAAATTTTTTAAAAATTTTTTTACATATTGTAGGTGTTTGAAGGAAGGTTTCCTGGTAGAAGTAAAACATTGTATGGTCACTGAACACAGTAAAATATTTGATGGAGGCTTTCATAGTGCAGTTATGGGCTCGCAGGGTACCTGATGCTTCTACACAAGAAAGCTGAGTCAGTTCTGGCTCCGTGCCAGTAGCAACCCTGTGCCTTCTTATTTCCCTAGGCCCACGGGAATCATGGGAGCCATCCTGTGGTGATGTTTCTGTGCTTTTGCTACTTGTTGCTGAGGCGAATTTTGGCAGCAAAGGAAATATATATTTAGAGGAAGAATCAGCGAGGTTCTATTCACCTTATTTAATATCTCTAACCCAATTCCTCTGTTGCAAGGAAAAAAAAATTTTGCATTTGAACAGTTAATAAAAACTTATATTTATGCAAATTCTCTTCCCATTAGATATGCAAATGACTGAAATAGTATGACACTTTCCTAAGACACATTGGTCATGTCTTATAAAGGAGCTAAATTTTATTAACATAATGGAATCTTTCTAGATATCCTGATGGTGATAATTTACTATTTTCCCTAAAACTGTCTCACACTCTTCACAATCTGAGTAAATGGCTCCACCATCCACCCAGTGATGAAGCTACCTTTCCCTTACTGTCTCTTCTTCATGGCCCCATATAGGTCCATCAAGCCTTCTTTCCTGAATATATCTTGATTCTATTGTACTTCTCATTACATCTCTTCCATCCGCCTTTCTAGATCTACACTTCCACCAAGTGAATTTATGTCATTATCATGATTTGCCTGGAGTCCACTACAACCATCACATTAGTCCCTCTACTTCCATAATTCATTTCTCAGTAATTCATGCTTGCATGTAGAGCAATATTATCAACTCTCTTTTAAGAGCATTCCTTGGCCCATGACTGCATTAAAAAATGAGTAAACACTGAAACGCAAAGATTGGTTAACACTGACTGCAAATTCCTTCCTGTAACACATAGCAACCTTGCTCCTCTCCAGCCTCAACAGATCCTATCTTCCCCTCATTTACATGCTCCTGCCACACTGGTCTCTTACTGCCTAGAACACAAGAAGCGATGTCCTGTCTATAAGGCTTCCCCACATGCTGTCCCCAGTGCTGGCCTACTGCCCTCCTCTCTTTGAATGGCTGGCTCAAACTGCATCTTAGCTCAAGTGTCTGTGTCTCAGAGGGATTATTCTGCATCGCCTTGTCATACAGCTTGTCTCCCTTTAGTCTTGATCTTGGTATATTTCTGTTCCTTCACAGCACTTACTATAGCATCTAGTATCTTGCAGTTTTGCCTGTCAAATGCTCCAAAGGATCCCATATTATGTCTCTGTTGTTAACTCAGCTTCCAGAATAGCATCTGACATGAAGTAGTAGGAGTTTTGTAGATATGTATGTAAAGAAGTACAAAGACATGAGTTATTTCACCATAGCACTCATCAATACTGGATATTTATATATTTTGTAATTCAATTTTTTAATTCTTTGAACATTCAGTATGATTACAACCCTGTGCTAAGATTAGTTCTCATTTCTCAGAAGTATCAGCAAGCGACGAGAATTCAAATATAAGTAAAGTATAATGTATTCTTAGGAAGATAGTGACCACTACTGTATTAAAGTATATTTTAAGAAAAAAATGTAGAGCATAAACTAATGTAATTTTGGTATGAGTGACTACAAGTTTACAATATTGACATTACTAGGTTTAAGTCTATATCTTTTGCCAACAACTTGAGGATCACTCACTAACCACTAAATTTACATTTATTTCCTAATACATATGGATACTAGAGTAAGCCCAGTTGATGAAAGCTTGGTCAAGTGAAGCCAGTGCCATAGATTGAGTGTCCACCTGACCCTGGTATTTACTCCAGTTACAAGGGACAAATGTCTCACAAACAGTGAGACTCAGTGGGAAATGTGGGTTGTGAAGACCCATCACCATTCTTAGGATGCAGGCTTCAAAATTTATACTGGTTAGTGATAATATAATAAACTATATGTAATATGTTCCTAATATTTACATATATATTTTTACTATCTGCATAGTTTTGTAGCAGTAAACCTCCTTACCCTTTCATTTTCTATGATTGTACTAAAAGATATTAAAAATACAAATAGTTCTTTTGTAATATTTGGTTTAAACATTGGCTTTCAATGAGGAAGCAATTTTAGAGTAATGATTTTTTTGATTTAGTATGTGGCCAATCATGTTGTGTTCTTTTTGTTGATGTTGTATTTGTTGCTTTGGTTAAAAATTTGGTAATTGTGTTTCATCTTAAAGGACTAAATTCTTTCATGAATTGTCACTAGGGATTTTGTTAAATTTGTTATTAAGATGGCACAGGGTGGTTGTTGTGAAATATTGCAGTATATTTGTGTACTAATTGGAGTTTCTCCAGTCCACCTATTACAAATAGGCTAATTTATTTTGCACAAAAGCATAGTGACATATCTCTTATATAGAGTTAGATAACCACTTGAGAAGGCAAGGTAATAATAAAATAGACTTCATAAGATTTTATGAAAGTAATTTTTATATAAAGATGTATGAGAAAGAGCTCAGCAGAATACTTTTGTGGAAAATGAGCAAATGGTTTTGGTGGCCTGCCATCATACAAAATGAAATTTCTTCATTGAAAGTTTTGCTTACACTCTCTTGTCTGCATTGCTGGAAGGAAATGGCTTTAGGCAATAGGGAAGGCCATCAGTTCTTGGCAGCTGAGTGGAATGAAGTTTGGACAACTGTAGCTCTTATAGGAAAAATGCCAGGCCATGGTAAAGACAGGAGGGAAGGGGGAATGCCTTGAACAATAAACAGTAAACATAATCTGCCATGAGCAAATTTGACATGACATTATGTTTAGAATTAAATTTTCTGTACCTTTTTATATCTTTGTATATCTTTTATCACTGTTGAGAAAATAGTTTTTTCCTTTTCTTCCTTTAAAACAAAATTCACTGTTAAGAGGAACACATGCTGTCATTGCTTCTTTAATATGGAAAATGAAATACCTTTGAGTTTTTAAACAGATACAACAGGGAGCCAAAAAAGTCATATAGTGTTGTTAAATCACATCACTACTTTAATTGTAATTTCATTGTTATTTGTTTTTTGATTTCCTTTCATTGTGTCAAGTGTTTGAGAAACTGCTATTATTGATCATGAATTTCTTTAATTGTCTCCATGGTTTTTTTACAAAGCTTTCTGAACCATTTATCAAAATACAATTAACTAATTCTGCCTATAATTTTTCATTTGGAGATTTAGAGGGTGGAGTTACATTTACACTGTCATTAATTTAATATCCTGCACTGCCACAAATACCTTTTTTATTCATTTTTTTCTCTATCTTCTGTCTTTTTTCTGACATTATTAGCATTTATATACATGCCAATAATACTCTACTTTCAGGTCAAATTATAGTACAAAAATTAAAAAGCTGGGCTTCTAAAGAACCATTAATAATATTATACTGGTGCACCAAAGTATAAATACAACAAATTTCCACAAAGATTTTAAATGAAATTTTGTATATGTTGTATGTTGAACTAGATCTCATAGTGTGGCTGGAGG